TTCTGACACCATGGATTAGTTTTGCATGTTTCTGAATCTTATATAAGTGAAAGCACACGGTTTGCATTTTGAAAAACTCAGCCTGGCCTCACTATGCATTTTTGAGATTCATGTATGCTGTTCATTGTGGCAATGGTTCTTCCATTTTCATTGCTTGTAGGCCCAACTTTTTAATGACTGCTCATTTAACAACTCTTGTCTAATAATACTCTTGAAAATTTATCCCACTTTTTAGGAAGGATTTTTTTTATTAGGTATACTTTTTCACTGTAAAACACACTAAATAAGTATCTAAAAATGTCCTTCATCTTTGATAATTAGGGAAATGCAAAGCAAAACAACTCTGATGGGGCCAGGGATATAGCTTAGTGGCACAAATGCCTGCCTGGCAAATGCAAAGAACTGAGTTTGATTCCTGGTATGAAAAAACAAAACAAAACAAAAAACAACACTGATATTTCATCTTACTCCAGTGATAATGGCTATCATTAAGGACTCAAAACAAACAAACAAAACCAAAAACAAGTGGTGGTGAGTGTGTGGGGGACAGAATGAACATTCTACACTGTTGCTGAGAATGTAAACTCATACAACCACTATGGAAAGTAGTATGCAGAGACTCCTCAAAAAGCTAAAATTAGAAACTCCCAGTTATACCTCTCCTAGATATCTTCCCAGAAGAGCTAAAATCATCATATTACAGTGATACATACATACCCATGCTTACAGCAGCACAATTCAAAATAGCTGGCTTATGGCAATAGCTTAGCTGCCCATGAACAGAAGAAAGGATAAAGAAGATGTGGTATTCATACACAATCTTATAAAAGATAAATTTGAATCATTTGTGGGAGAATGGATGGATCTCGAAGCCGTAATGTCAAGTGAAATAATTCAGACACAGAAGTTTTTCTCTTCTATGAGAAACACAAAATCTAAATAATTTTCAAAGAAAGATAAAGGACAGATGGTAAGAAACAGAGCAGTGAATTTTTTGGAGGTGGTTAAAGGGATCTAGGGAAAGAGAAGAGGGTAGGATGGGGGAAATGGGATAAAAAGGGTATCAATTCCAAAAATGAATGTAATTATTATATATCACAGACGTATACTGAAAATATAATTTTAAACATTTGTGTTGACAGAATATAAAATTAATGCAATAAAGCTTCCTTTCATTACATGTTATGTGTGAGCTATTAACCTTCCAATTATTACCTGTTTCCATTATTCCGTTCATGGATTTCCTACCTGTGGATTTCTGTTTTATACAATTATTATTAGAATAAAATATATTAATTTTTCTCCTCTAAAACTAATAAAATATTTTTCTTTTAAGCTTTTGATTTGGTACTTGGGCTATAAGGAGGAATAAAATTTCTCAGAGCATCATATATTCTGTGGTGCTAATATGCTCACACTGTATTCATTTTATTGTTGATGGATATTTTGGCTGTTTTCCTATTTCGCACAATTTTTAAGAACACTGTTTCTATTAATATACTGTTGAAGTGTTCATATATCTACGTTTCTATTGGCTATAGACTTAAAAGTGGTTTTCCTAGGTCTCTTGCATATGTGTGACTAACACAGGCAGAGCCGTCAAATTACTTGTATCAAATTACATTTCCACAAGTAGTATGTGAATTATTGCTGCTGTAATCTTTGCAGATACTAGGCATTGTCAGAGTTTAAAATTTTATGCAAAATTCTGGTGGCTGGGTTAAAATTGTTGCAGTTTTAAATGACATTTCCTGATTATTAAAAGGTAGAACGTCTTTCACGTTTGTTGGTCAGTTGGATATCCTCTTGTGGTGTCTGTACTCAAGTCTTTGATCAGCACTTGGAATGTCTATTGACTTGTAAGCATCCTTGTGCATTCTGGATCTGGGCCTCTGTCTGCTATTGATGCTGTTAATATGTTCTTTTGCCTGTAACTTGTCTTTTAACTCTATTAAGTGGTGATTTTTGATAAGTGAAAGTACTTAATGGCATTGAAGTCCAGTGTATAAGTTTTTCCTCATGGTTATTGTTCGATGCATGTGTTGTTAAATAAATCTTTGCCTGTCTCAAGTATGCAAAATTGTCTTCTTAGGAGACTTGATTCACCTTTTACATTTAGATCTGCAACCTACTCAGAATTGATTTTTTTGTATCATGTGAAGGAAGGGTCAGGTTTCACTGCTTTCCATATGGACATCCAGTTGCCTCACCATCATTTTTAAAAATGACTGTTCTTCACTTCTCTCCAGTGCCCTATTTATCATAAATCAAGGAACCCTATGTGCATAGGTGTGTTCTTGCTTCCATCTCTGGTGATATACTTTCTATTGTATCAGTAGCACCTTGGCCTCCTTCCTATCACTTTAGTGTAAGACTTAATAGTTGGCAAAATTGTCCAACTTTGTTTTCTTTATGAGTGTCTTGGTTATCCTCAGTTTGTTGCATTTAATAAAATCTTGAGGCTTAGTTTGTCAACTTATGCAAACATGTCCACACACACGTTACTGGAATGTTCACTGAGATTTCACTAAAAATATAATTTACCTTAATTAATGGAGAATGGCTATGGCATATACTTTCATTTATTTAAGTCTGTACCTTATTTCAATTATGTCTTACCATTTTCAGTATAGACATTTTTATTAGATTTATTTCTAAGTATTGGATTTACATATGGTATTGTTTTAAAAATTCATTTTCCAGTTGTTTGATGCTGGCATGGAGGAATATACCTGATTTTGGTCTGGTATTCTGTGATCTTAATAAATTCACTTATTGGTCTAAAGACTTACTTGGAGATCCTTTTGAATTCTTTGCATTCTCAATTGTCTGTGAGTAATGACAGCTTTATTTCTTGCCATTTCTCCTCATTTCAAGGGTGGAGATTTTCAAGGTTCCCGCCTAAAGCAGAGGGTAGTTTACCTGGTCGACGGGCCCGATTGGCCTTGGACATTGCCTCGGGTCTCCACAGCTCCTTGGTGCAAATTGTGCAACTGGGGCCCTCAGCTGCCGCCTCCAATGGGACTCTTGTTATCAAGCGAAACTAACCTGCCTTTTCTAAGGTCGCTTTCCTTTGGATCCTGGCCTGGTTACTTATTACTCTCTTTTTAGCTCACTGATGACTTTAAAAAGCTGTTTAGACTATTTTAAGTGTTTAAAAATACTAAAAAAAATTCCATCATGTGTTTTTCCATTTCAATTCTGTGGAAAGGTTAATATTAATTACTCAGTCTACTAGTGCAATAGCAGAAGTGCATTGGGTATTTTTTGCCAAGGCAACCTGGGGAGAGAGAAGGTGCTGGGCCTCAGGGCTAAATTTCCATATCTGTTTGGGAGGCCAGAGATGAGTCACAGGCGGAGGGGATGGGTGGAGCTAGATCAGAATGACCTGCTGGCTTCTGCTGTGTTCTGCGATTGCAATGTCACGGACGAAGCCAAAATGATAGAACTCTATGTTCTGGGGAGGAGCGTAAGGAATATTCTGAGTGTGCATGAAAATACTTTTTTATTTATACTAAACGCAGTTGACTGGGACTTACCCAAAACAACTTCCCTCAAACATTTGTGTTTACTTTTAACCCCTGCCACATGAAGATCAGGTCTAATAAGTAAAATTGAGTGCTAAATTCATTCACACAGGTAGACAGGGCCATGATCTCAGGAAAAAGCCTTTTACAGTCGTTGAAACTGGGGAGTCATTAATTCATTTTATAGTGTTTGTTAAGTCTGTTCTACAAACGGTTGGCACAAAGAGATAGCTCTGCAGAGAACCAATTCAAAACAGTCTTGACAGTTGATTCCAGGCTATGTTTTCCATCTATAATATATGTGGGGTCCATCTGAAAAATGCCACCATATCCTTGCTGAACCTATTTGAATTGTTTGTGCTCCTGTTGCCCTCCACTTTTCCACTGTTTGAAAACACTATGCTGTATTTCACAGGAACATTACTTCTTTAAAACTTTTTCCTTCTCACTGCCAAAGTTAAGATCTATCTTCACTGCTTATAGCTGAAGGATCAAAATCCATTTAAATTTTCACACAATAGTGGAAAAGATCTCCCAGGGTCTCTCATTCTAGCCGTAATCTAGCTTTCTTTGATTCAGGAACTTGTGTGTTGGGGAGCAGGGATTTTTCTTCTTTTTTGCTTTTTAAGAGTCCAGCATTTTGTGCATTCTTATCAGCTATTGAGAAAAGCTGGATTTTGTGTTTGAGCCAGCTATGCATTTTCCATGTAGTGGTGTTTTGTAGCTATTAGAGGTTCTGTTTATGGAAAACAAATATTTTCAATAAAATTTATCTGTTATAAAGTTAGAAACAGTCTGGTTTAGGTCATTATTTCACACAACAAAAAGGCAAGATGTCATCGTTAATATCTTTCAAGTGAGGTCTAAGCTGGACTGTTCATTCTCATTTGACTATCAGTCCAAATAATAGAAATAAACCTTTAATGCATAGTTATTAATATAATATACATTAATATGTCTAGAATGTGAAAAAATCCTTTTAAGCGTAAGAGTGATTTTAATAAAATTTAACCGTCAGGTATAAGTAAGTGGCAACAGCAATAACCAGAGACGCCCCAGGCAAACCAATCATCCAAGCTTATGCTTATGAAAGAATCCCTTCCCCATACTCCCCCAGCAGAAAGTAATTCAGTGGGCAAAGCTGTACATGAAATTAATCTTCTATTATACACTCTATTACCTAAGAAAATCTCCTCTGATTTGCTGGTGGTGAATACATGTAAACAACGGAGGTCAGAGGAACAATGTGTTTATATTTATAGTTGGTTTAGAGTGCTGGCGATCAAACCCAGGGCCTTGCGCATGCTAGAAAAGTGCTCTACACTGAGTTACACTATTAGCCTCTTGGCTGATTTAAAAGGGTATGCAAATTTTGTGGTTTGAAAAATGAAAATATTTTATAGCCACATTCTATCCTGTTGGTTTGCTATTTCAACATAAATTGACTCAACCCTGAAGTTTTTTTCTTTTTAGTTTGCATGACTCCTGGTAGACTATTCCCAACAGAAGCTGGCAACATGGAAGATGAAGCACAGATTAACAGAAGGAGAAGAGTTGTGATTCTCACATTCAAGCACATTGGATGACCATGAAAATAACAGCCACAAAAGCACAGAAAGGATCTTGAAGTTTAAACATCAGAAAGATGTGAAAAGAGCACAAAATAGTAGCAGAAAGTCTCAAATGATAGATTCTTTGAAAGAACTCTGCACGCAATGGCAAAATATGATAGGTATTGTTGTTGCACTACACTAGGATAGCTAGACCATTACACTGGGATGACCTTTGTTTTAACTGAAATCAGATTTTTTATTGTTTACTGTATAGAAACATCTCAAATGCTTGATTTTCTTCTTCCATTTGGAGGAAGAGGAAAGGGAACTTTCTAATGTTTGTCAGGTGCTAAAGGGAGTCTTATAAGGATAAGAAGGAATTGAACAACCTCAAGACCTATGTAAGTACCAGTACTTTTATGATCCATTATTTCAGATACTGAGCAACTGACTAGTATTTCTATTGCTTCACAATGTCTTTCAGCTGTCCCTTCTTGTTCTAAGTAGAACTGGGCAGAGTGAATGTTATGGTTTGTGTCTGCATATCCCCCGCAAAACCTCATGCAGTCATGAGGCAGGTTTCCAGAATTTATGATTGATTCATGGTCCAATGTTGGAATTATGGGTGTGAGTGCTACGCCTGACCTGGGGCAGGTAGTTTGCACACAGTGTTAGGAAGGGAGAGAGGCTGCTTGCTGCTGCTGCTCCTCCCCTTGTGTTCTTGCTGTTTTTGCTCTTGTTGCTTTGTTGTTTTCCATGGCCATGAACAGTTGCCCTCTGCCATGTGTCACTCTGCCTTGGAGCCAGTGGAGTATGGACTGGAACCTCCAAAAACTGTAAGCTAAATAAACCTTTCCTTCCTTCATTCCTGGTGTCAGGTATTTTGTCTCAGCAATGAGAGAAAAAGCAACCAAGACGGAGAGATCTGAACACCTAAACAAGCTTTTCCTCTCTTGCTACTAAGCCTCTACCAGCATGGTAGAGAAATGGCTTAACATATATGTCTAGAACAAGGAGGACAAGGGGAGAGAGATTGCTGCGGTCAATGAGATGATGATACTCCAAGCGCTGGGGATTCACAGATGACAAAGTCACAGTTCTTTGTCTTCAAACTTTACACTACTGGATAAGAAGGCATGATGCTAGCAAATAATTGTAAACACGTATATTGAGAACTACAAAAGACATTTGTATAAAATAGGGAATGTGGAATGGGGAGGGAATAAAAGAGAGATGAGTCGTGGGAAAAGTATAGGGAGAGTTCAGAAAGGTGTCCCTTAAGCTTAAGCTGAGTCCCTAGAGATGAGCAGGTATCCACTGGGTAGCTAGGGGAAGAAAGGCATTCTGAGTGGTAAGCATGTGCAGAGACCTGGATGTGCTTAACAGCTTAGAGCTGAGATGCTGGAAAGATTGGTATGAGGGCTGGAAAATACTATAGAGGATCCAAAGAATCAAGGATAACCAGCTCAGGATTTAGATGTTCTTCCATAGGACAAGAGGGCAAAGCAAGAGCTTTGTAGCAAGAAATGATTCTGGTTGACCTTGAAAAGACCGCTCTCTCTTCTCTATTGAAAGCTGTTGGAGAAAACCTAGAAGGAAGACTAGGAAGCCCTTCCCAGAAATTAGGATTTGAAATAGGACAAAGAGAAGGAGGAGAAATGTTTCAAGGTAAAAACCAGATTTCAGGCTTGAATTACTGGCAGTTTATTCACTAGGACAGGGAATGCAGGTTGGCGAAGAAGGTAATTATTGAGGTTTGGACAAACTGAGTTTGTGGTCCTGAGTGTCACGTTGGTGGACAGATGATAGTGTGCTGGAAGCACACAGCAAAAGCTTGGTTTGCTATCAACTTCAGAGGCAGAGGGTATCTATCCACAGGCTGACACAGTACTTCTGTGGGAGGTGGCTACCTCCGGTACATGAAGCTCAGATCATAGCCAACAATTCTCCTTCCTACTGTGGCTAGGGTCACTCCTACCTGGGTACAACCATGCATGTGGATTTTAAGAGAAGGAATTCCTTGGAAGTTGCTGGGCCAACAGTCACTTTCACCCTTATGTTTAACAGAATGATTAACAATTAGCTCAGCTGATCTTAGGTTTGGAGGAAGTGGGAGGAACTGATTCCGGGATGTAGGGGAAATGGCAATTACTGAATAATGGTGACTGGGTAGCTGAGACGGATGATACCACCCAGATTACGGAGGCAGAGTCGGGTATGCAAGTTCCAGATTGGGAGGGGATAGAGCCCAGTCATAAAACCAGGAAACACTGTCTTTTGAAGCTCCCGTTTTCTATACAGCTAACAGTTGTCAACAGCGGGAGTACAAGAAACAACACAACATTCATGTCCCAAGTAATTTAATTTAAAGTAGTTATAACCATATTTGCAAGTCCATCTTCTAGATAAAAGGCTGAGTAACTTGCTAAGCGGCAGAGCCTGATCTTGCCACCTGTAAAGCCCATAGTACCCTTTCCACTCCTACCACAATGGATGTGACAGCAGAGAGGAAGGAGGATGACAGGATGAGCAAACACGTCAAAGTGAAGGAACGGGTAACATTCTTAAAACGTGTCCCATGGAAACAGGTCCTGGGAAAAGATGTCCCCTTGACTTCTTGCTGCAGTGCTCGTATCCAAACCTCTTTCCGGGTCCTCACATCTCTGACCAGAATCCTGAGAGTTAGTTGCCTTTGAAACAGGCTAAGTCTGAAAAATAATAATGTTACTTAAGACATGAAGCACTGATTGTAAGCGCTCCATTCAGTGACTTCTCTTCTCAAATTTATCTAACAGAACATATTGACAGTAGGATGTCTTATGAATACAGAGCAGAGGTTTATCATTTTTCATGTACTTACATTCCCTGATCTCATTTAGTTTTCCCAGTCCTATAAGAAGGCAGATCTCAGAGTTAGGGAAATGGAAGATTGGAGAGGTTAAGCGACTCGCTCAGACCTGCACCATAAGAATTGTTGCCAGAAATATAAACACAAATCTTCTGACTCAGCAATATTTTTTTGTGTGAGACCAACACCGACACTGGGTAGAGGTGTAGTGAATAAGAGGTAGGGGAGGGGAAGAATATACAATACCACAAAAGAACTTTGAAGCAAGATTCAGTAAAATAAAAATCCAGGGAAAGTAGAACTAGCTGCCTATGTGGTTCCAAATGCATCATTTATGTCTTTTTGGACTTCATTTATTTATTTTGCCCCATTTTTCAAAGAGCCTTAAGCTCTCAAGATTTTGGTGAAGAGCTTCCTGATGTAGTCCCACAGGTTCTCAGAAGGGTCCTGTAGGCTGGAGAGTCAATAGAACTCCAGTTCTTCTACAGTTGCACAGCACCAGAGATGTAATTTTGATGTCAGTAATAAGCTGAGTGTGTCCATGGTCTTAAAGAGATCCATGGTACCATGCTATCTGGTTCAAATGACAGTGACTATGAAAGGCTGACTCTAATCCTTTGCCTCACTATGGCACAAGCTGCACCAATTAGATTTGCATTTTCCTTTTAACAATCACTGTTGTTAGGGGATAGGATGGGGGACAACTGTTAGCATCCCTTGGATTGTGGTTCCTTCCATCCATTAGATCTAACAAGTGCCGGCCACGACACCTTACTTTTCAAAGTACAAAACCAACTCTTTACTAGATACTGCAGCCACCCACCAGATCTGCACTTCTCAGGAAATATTTATTTCTGCTGATTAGCATTGTTGACTTGGGATGAAGTGCTTCCTGTTCCGGGTTATTTCTGTCCCTCTGAGTTGCCTCCTTGGAGAGACAGGATAGAGATGGTACCCAGGCATCCATACAAAGCTTAATTATGCCTCTTTTTTTAGTTGTCTTGCTTGACACTGCTGTTGAAGCCTGGCTAATTAGTTCCTTCCAGAAATATCCATATGAATCTGTACTAGCTAAATCAAAATATCTTTATAATATAGCTTTCAAGGTGCAGGGAGAATGTTTATCCTAATGTCTCTCTTTTTCCTTGGATAGCATGCATTAAAAAATGTTATTTTAATCAAAATACAAAATCACAAAAAAGAGTCTGTCATGCTATTAAATGCACCAGTGATAGCAAAATAGTTAAAACCTTTCCATTGCAGCAGGTTCAAGGTCATTACTTTTGATGAATATTTTCCTTCTTTAAGAGACATAGTTAATATAAGCAAATAGACCAGAGAAGATATTTAAAATATATCCATCAATTGCCTTTTGTTAGGATCTTTAACCCCAGAAAATCATGCCCATAGTCATAGCTCATTATCTTAATTAGATCTGTCTTACATAATCTCACAATTTATTATCATTTCTTCATAGACGATCAGCCTTATGAAAAGCATGTGAGCAGAATTTGCTGGTTTTTATTGTGATAGTGTCTGTCTTTTCTTTGAAACTCTATTTAAATCATTTGGGTGTAATAATGGTGATGCTATATTTAATTAAAAATTACGTTAGAAAGATATCAATATTCATTCTGCTGAATGAACACTGGATTGACTCAAGAATTAAAATCTTTATAATGGCTAACGTGGTGAATTGTGCTAGGGCATCCATAAAAATGGAGATGAATCATAAAAATGGCTGAAATGCCTAAAGTTTTCTTCCCATTGTTATTCTGCAGGTGTGCCTAGCAGGCCTTTCCAGGAGCAAGTCTTTTCAACATATACTTACCCCACGGAAAGAGATGGTTCTTGATGTTTAAGTTACAACTTGTTAGGATCAAGGTGATGTTGCCAGAACGTTGCACTTTCTCTCTTCCTCTGTCTTTCTTACGTGAGTTAAAAATATAAGGACTAGCTCTGTTTCTAACATCTTGTCACTTAAAATGGTTTTACATCTTTTGAAGTAGGAAATAGGTACTGTGCTATCAATTTTCTAGATTACTATGTAAGTTCCCGAGAAAAGCTGCAGTTGGGGAAGGCAGAATGGCAGCTATTTTGGCAAAATAAGAGGGGGAACTGCAAGATTTAAGTTGTTAGCTGCTGTTTTGTGGAGGCAGATCTCTCAAGCAGGGGGACAAATGAAAATGCTGGGACCGTCTCAGACAGATGGGTATTGTGGGGAGGGATGGGCATATGGCAGGGCTGAAACTGGGGTCATTGGAGGTTTTTGTCAGGGGGGTTTGGGGAGCACGAGCAGACAGCAGGGCAGGGCAGGGTCTCAGTGAGAAAACCAATGGTCTTGGATGGCTACTGGTGCTGACTTTCTGGATGACTGCCTCAGAGAAAATGCAGTGAAAGAAAAAATATACAACAAAGCCAAAGTTGATTCTGTCCTACAAGTGTTCTTGGAAGAGGGGAGGAAAGTGTGGGGAAAGATCTTAAATTGAATCCAGAGGTAGAAAAGATACTCTCCCCCCTCCCCACTCCCTGTTGAATCTGACCTGGCTTCCTGTCACGCTTTGGCATGCAGAATAAGGCAGAGTTGATGGAGTCCCAGGTCCATGTCTATGCATGCAGAAGTCCCGTATTTTTTCTCTCTCCCTTGGACCCCTGCCTCCCTTGTGGGGATATGCCTGAGTTAATTGCTAGCGGAATGTGGAGGATACATGGAAGAAAGACGCATCATTTCATCCAAATCTATCTAACTTACCAAGCCTTCAGCTGCCCAGTTAGGGGATCACAGAGACAAGAATGATCACAGACGAGATAAGCCAAACCCAGCAGAGGTCACCAGAGCTGCCCAATCCACCCACACTTAAATGGTTCACATAACATGTTAAATTTTGGAGCATTTTTTGAACAACAAAAACTCAATAATGCATGAGGCTTCTCTGTCTGTCTCCACTGTTTATCTAAGAATTCTGTATCCAGTAAAATTCTCTTTTTCTGACTTTGACTGTTTTTCAGGGACCTTAGGCAACACTTCCTAGGTGCTCATGAAAAGTCCAGTTAGCCAAACAGCATCTACAGTGGCCAGATGCGTTCATATCTTGGCCTCAGAAGAAGCTGGGAAGTCCCAGTGCAACTGTCTTGAAGTCTGTTTCCCATATCCAGAGAGAGGAGTATCAGGAGCCTTAAGGGTAACTTGCACATCTGTTTGTTCTTCATTGCAAAGCACCTATGTTTGCCAGTAACACACATTTTCTTTTCTTTTTTATTTTAAAGAAAATAGTACCCAAAAAAGAACAAGAGCAAAATACAAACAACACAAAGCAAGGACATTAAAAATGATACAGGGTTTCAAACCAAATGGTAGAGATTAACAGTGGTTGTTATACTACATATTGTTATCTTCAATGAAATTGCTCAGATTACCAAAGGTAAGAATGGAAGATTAATCAAATCATTAAAGGGAATAAGAAAATAATAACTTAAAAGAACATTAGAGACCATACATAGGGATTGTAGGAATTCACCAATGGATATTATACTGCAAATTGTTCTTGTCACATAAGTTGTTCAGATTACCACATATGAGCATGCAAAATTGGTCAAAATATTAATAAAAACTTTTAATTATTAACTGTTCCCCTCAACAAACAATCAGAATGCCACCTATATATGTGTATATATATGTATATATATATATATATATATAAAATGTCTTAGTACTTTCATTTTCTTCTTTCCCTCATCCCAGTTGTTCCTTCCTTTAAGCAATTTCTTTCCCTTTCTTATTATCTATTGTATGTTTTGGGTTTTATTTACTCTTTCATGTTCTTACACCAGGGAGACAATATGATGTTTACACATGTGAGCCTGATTTATTTCACTTATGAGTATGATCTCTAGTTATATCCATTTACCTATAAAAGCCTCAAGTTTATCTTTTTTATAGCTGAGTAATACTCCATTTTATAGAAATACCACATCTTTTTTATCCATTCCTCAGTTGATGGGCATTTGGGTTGTTTCCAAGATTTAGCTATGAGAAATTGCCCTGTTATAAACATGGGTGCACATGTATTGCTGTGATATGATGTTTTTAATTCTTCTGGAAAAATGCCCAGAAGGGGAATAGCTGGGTTAAGTGGGACTTCTAATCCTAGTTTTGTGAGGAATCTCCAGACTGACTTCCACAGTGGTTTCACCCATCGACACTCCCACCAGCAGTGGAGAAGTAACACATTTTCCTTTCACCTCAGCCTAGATAGACACTGATGGGACCTTCCCAAAGTCATCGGTCTTCTTTCATGAATCACAAACATTTCAGAGATCAGCAAAGACTTTGCTAAGCATTTTGTTGAGAGTGTTAACAGTTGGGGTTGTATTGCATAATACATGAATAATCTAAACCTGGATAGGCTGTGCTAATAAATAAACCCAGAAATCCTAGGGGCTGTGGGTAAACAATAGACAGTCCTTTCTCCTGCCGAGTCTAATGCCATCCCCTGCCTAGTGCCGGCCTCCGTCTCCAGTTTCTTTGCTGGTCTCTGCCTAATTGCTGACTCACAGCTACACATTTTAGGTTTCTTTGTGGTGGTCCCTTACTGCTGGTGTAAACTCTAAATGTGTCAGGTTAGGATAGAGTATTCTGTGGGAACAAATACCCTCCACCCCCAGGGGACTTGCTAACCAAAGTGTGTTTTTTTTTTGTTTTTTTTTTTTTTTTTGGTTTTTCTCCGGTACCGGGAACCGAACTCACGACCTTGCGCTTGCCAGGCAGGCGCTTTTGCAGCTGAGCTAAATCCCCAGCCCCAAAGTATGGTTTTCTTCTCTGTGCAAAATCTCCAGGGTCTTGTCTCATTTCACTGCAGCCATGGCTATGTGTGACTGTCATATTAGAGAGTATAAATTGTAGGAAAAATGGGGCAGGAATTTCAGCATGACATTTTGGGTTAGCCAGTTTGGGTTACATGTCAATATTACTGTTGATGACGGCGTATTTATCTGTATGTTTATGCAGTGTGATCGCCTAATGGCTTCTTAAAACAGCCTTTAGAGCACGGATCATTTGCTTTCCTCCATTAAGAAGACCAAGGGGTTGAGAATAGAGATAGGAAGGTAACATCAGTTTTGCCAGAGTAAAAAGTAGCAAGAACGTATGCGACAGTGGATGAAAGAAAATCTCCCCTAAATTATAATAATATTTAGCTTTCTGCATAAGTAACTGAATAGGCATGGGTTTTTCTATAGCGGCTTATTGGTGGACCGAACACACATGTTTTTATTTATTTTCAAGTTTATAAGAGTGTTTGCAGTAGTCTGGAGAGGTAGCATGACTGGACTGATAAAAGTCATGATCTCCATGTGATAATGTGGAAACAGAGGCACTGTATCTCAGCTCCTGGGCCACTGAGGGTCCTACACAAATAAATAAATTTTGTTGAATGACAAGGGATCACACGAATGAAAGAGACAGGTTAAATGACAGGTTTAATGTGCTATGTGCCTCTCCCTTGCTAACGTGACATGACCTAGGTTGGTTACTAAGTGATAGAACCTAACCAAGTTTTCTAAAGTTTCAGTCACCTCGCCTCCAGGAAGCTTCAGGATGCAAGCTTACACTTCTGCTATAAATATTTTCCTCAGAGTTTTGCTGGTGAATTAAAGTTTCATAACAAGAAGACAGCAGATGGCTTTCGGAAGGGGCTTCTCCTTGCTCTTTTAACTGTGTTTCTGTGTTGCTTGTTTATGCAGCGTGTGCACAAAGGTTGCCAGAGCCGTAATTTCAGACTGCATCATTTAATAAAATACAATAAGAGGAATTAAGAAGAAAGGCTGCAGTGAACATCCTGCTTATTATCTCTGTAATGAGAGGACTATTTTTTCTCCCATCAGTTGCCAATGATGGGGTTTTTTATTTCCTTTCATCTGAGCACAATTGTGATATTCAATGAGAGGGGTTGTGAAGTGCCACTTGAAAGCCAAACATTCAATTCCTCCTAATTCACAAGGGAGAGAAGGATCAAGTTGTGCAGCTGGGAGGTGATGTTTCTTCCTAGCAGCTGTCACTGGAGAGACATGTGCAAACCATAGAAGTCATTTGTCACAAGAGCCCCATCCCGAATGTGCTATGTGCCTCTCCCTTGCTAACGTGACATGAAATAGTGAGGCTTTCAAACTCAAGTTCAGAGACTTCGCTGTGTTGACGTGGGCAAAATGGAATGAAGAACCGAGGCAATTATGTGGATAAATCAGGCCCAAAATATCCTACCACTGAGAGAAAAAAATGTCTGTGGCTCAAATTATTCAAAGTGACTGTCCATGCTCATCAATTTATCAGGATAATGAATTTTATCCTACACTTTGTCACTAGAGATATATCTCCAGTCTATGAATTTGAATGACTTTGTGATATTTTATTTCACTGGAAATTGCAATAGGAGTTGAATGAGCAAGCACTGTATTAAAAGATTGCTACTGAAGCTGTGATAACAGTTCAAGAGAATTTAAGCTTCATTACTCCCTAGCTAGCTGGTAAGACTGTTGCAGTGGGGGTCCAGAGGGATTATGTGAAAACTGTTGAGAATTGGATGCTTGTAACTAATCTCAGTCTCTCCCATTTAGTAACCCATTACCCCCCAAAATATCTTGGTCCGTTGCTCTTAACTAGTTTTCTGGTCATTTGACAACCAATGAAATCATTGTGAAAATTTCATTAAAATTTATAGAAAGCTGATGTATTAGGATTATATGTGTATATATAAATGTTACCTTCATGTATGTTAATATTTATTAATACCTCTTATATTTCATTAAAGAGATAAAAGTTTCAAATACATAACGCAAGGTCAGTACATAAAGCAATGCCTGTGCATACATCGGCATTGGCTTCTGCTTTGTACCCTTTGCATACTCCAGGCCTTGTTGCTTCTGGAGACATCTGAATCAAGGTCAGGAGTCCAGGGCTCTCCCGAAGGGCAAAGGGAGAACTTCTGAACAGTTAGCTCTACTACCTCTGATGAAGTAGTAGTAGAGTTACTACTGCCTCTACTACCTCCTCGGTCCTGCTGCAGCTTCTTAAACATTAGGGACCGCCTGCCACTCAGAAGTTATAAATCAAGAACATGCTCACTGAAGCAATAGGATACTACACAAGAAGCAACAGCCAAGATCAATACCATTTTTATCTTTATCCATAAAATTATAACATAAGAAGTACCTTGAAGAATGACCTATGACAATACTATTATGATATTTTGTTAGTTTTTTTTATTTTTAAAATAAACAATGGAAATATAAGTGTTTCCTGATCAAAACAGAAATATTTTATGTAATATTCTGGAAAAATATCAAGAAAAAAGTAAAAATGGCCACTGGCAATATAACCATTTAAACCCTGGATTTTTTGGGTCTAATATGGATGAAATAGAAATGCATACACATGTATAATTTAGAGCTCAATAAGTGTTGGCTAGAACTGGTTTTAGGGTCGTAAACATGAGTCCCTCTTTCACAATAACTGCTGACGTACATATTTGAAGCTACTTTATACACGATGACATTTTCCCATAAAGGCTAAATTTATATACATGCACCAGAGAGTGATCTGTTACCATCTGTGCTGTTATTTTATTGCAAAGCAGTGTGTGTGTGTGTGTGCATACGTGTGTGTATGTTTACATATGCGTTTTTGTCTACACAATGGTAGAAGTACAGGTAAGAACATGTAATTACAAAAACCTTTCAGGCCTGACACACACCTTCGTTAAACTGAGTTCTAGGCTATAACAGGCGGTGTTGAGAGCTCAGGAAGGTATTGGTCACAGCAGTGAACAGTGTAGCATTTTCTAATTTCTTAGCTGATGTGCAGCATACAATTTCCATCATTGTGGAACTTAATAGCCAGCTCATTTATTGACAATCTCAGCAAAAAGGGTAGGAAAATCAATTCTGAACATGAATTATGGCATTTCTTTGAATATCAGCCATTTCTGGTCTAAAATCTGTACCACGGTGTCCTGTTTCTGAGTGGTAGGTTATTAATGAATTCCAGTTATACTTGTTTTCTGGCTTGTTATAATTTTTTCAGGAAGATGATAGCAGTTCCTGGCACAGTAACCTTTCCAATGTTCTGTTCCTTGATTTGCTGATAATGCCTGTCCTTGGTGCTAGTAGATGAGGGAAAGGTATATAGAAGGGTTGATCAAAGGACAGTGATTATTAAAAAAATCAATTAGCTGAATAATTAAAGAGTCGATACTGTCTCATGCGGTGAAGATAGTAACACAAAGAAGAAACTATAATGTCAAAGCATTTTTTGGAAATGAGTGTTGGAGAAAAGGAAATTATATCAGCCTACTTGCTTTCATTATAGTCTGAAAATGGCCTTTGGCACTTGTACTTAGCTGTCCTATTCCTGCTGTAATCTCTGTTAAGAATAGCAAATCAATATGGAATTTTTTGAGGAGCTAAGCTAATCTGTTTTTATTTATTTATTTTTTTTCCGATACCAGGAATCGAACTCACAACCTTGCGCTTGCCAGGCAGGCGCTGTGCTGCTGAGCTAAATCCCCAGCCCCCACGAGCTAAGCTAATCTGGCAAGCATGTTCCTTTTAAAATAAAACTGCTACATTAGTCATATTTAATTGTACCCAGCAGAATCCAATATCATAGTGATTTGATAACCAGCATCATCCAGTTAAAATTACAATAACGAATCTGTGAGTCTGACATTTTACCTTCCTTTTTTTCTCATTTCTCCCATAAAATTTTTATCCTAATGAAGCGCATATTTTTCTTGTTTGTCTTTTATTGATCATCCTACCCACTTCTCTGCTCTAAAAGTATATTTCTAAATTATAAGGGTTGTTTGGTAATGTTCAAATCTCTAAACACTAACATGTTTTTTCTATTAGTTTCATTTCTGTCAACTGGTAATTTACAAAATCAAGGCAAATATATTCCATTTTTGAACATTAGTATTGTAATGTATTAAAATTCATTGCAAAATAATTTCTTCATGAGAAGAATCATGACTCTGTGTGCAGCTCTTGGGAAGTTGAATCTGCAGTGTCTTGAAAGCAGTCAAGATGGTTGATAAGATGCAGTTCCTCCATCAACAAGGTCATTGAACAGAGACATCCAGTGTTTCTTTTCCCCTCACTAAAAAGAACCAAAGCAAGAGGTGTACCACTGAATATCAACATGAGTTACCCTGGGAAAATACTGGTACTCAGCAGTGGATAAACAGAAGTGTTGTAAAATCCAAACACCAGAGACACAGCAAAAGAAAAAAAATATCCCAACACTTGTCACTTGGCTGCACAGGTGGGAGAGAGTCTCTCATCTGCAGGGGTAAAGATGAAGAAGAGAGTCACAAAAAACTTTATCAGTGAAGATACCGGCAATTCCAGCTCTTGGTAAGTTTTGCTCCCTTGCATGCTGAGAGCCTAAAAAGATAAGACACCTGAAATCTGCACTGTAGTCTGGTTTGGGATAAGAAATTACCTTCATCCCACAAGCCAATTTTTCCAGCACCATTTATTAAAGAGGCTATCTTTCTTCCACTGAGCTTGTTTGGCCCCTTTATTGAAGACTAGGTGGTTGAGTGTGTTTTTGGTTGTGTCTGTTTCTTCCAGTCTGTTCCATTGATCCTCAGGCCTGTTTTTTAGCTGGTACCATGCTGATTTTATTACAGTAGCTTTGTAGTATAATTTCAGGTCAGGGATTTTAATTCCATCTGACTTGTCTTTGTTGCCCAGGACTGCTTTTGCTATTCTGGGTCTCTTCTGGTTCCAGATGAATTTTAGGAATATTTTCTCTAGATCTGTGAGGTATGCTAGCGGTAGTTTAATGAGAACTGCATTGAATCTGTACAACAATTTCGGTCGTATGGCCATTTTCACAATGTTGGTTCTTCCTGTCCATGAACAAGGAATGTTTCTGCATTTACTGAAGTCCTCTTTGATCTCTTTTTCCAGAGTACTGTAGTTTTCATTGAATAGATCTTTACTGAAAATAGATGCAAGTCTATCACCATGCATCAAACTCAAGTCAAAATGGATCACAGATCTCAACATTAAAACAGAAACACTAAATCTATTTAGAAGAGAAAGTAGGTAAAAATCTTGAAGACATAGGGGTAGGCAGAGAGTTCATGAACAAAAACCAAACTGCAAGGGAAATACTTCAAAGAATCAACAACTGGGATCTTATCTTACTGAAAAGTTTTTGCACATGTAATGAAATCACCAGCAGAGTAAAAAGAAAGCCCACACATTGGGAAAAAATTTTAGTTGGCTGTCCCTCAGACAAAGGTCTTGTACCTAGAACATATAAAGAATTAAAAAACATCATCCCCCCCCAAATTCAAAGACCCAATTCAAAAATGGGCATCTGAGATAAATATATACTTCTCAGATAAAGAAATACAAATGGCAAATAAATACATGAGAAAATGTTCAACATCATTAGTCATTCAAGAAATGCAAATTAAAACAAAACTGAGATTCCATCTTACCCCAGTAAGAATGGCTAGCATTAAGAAATCAACCAATAACAAATGCTGGCGAGGCTGTGGAGAAATAGAAACTCTTCTCCACTGCTGGTGGGAATGCAGACTGGTGAAACCACTGTGGAAATCAGTTTGGAGATTCCTCAGCAAACTAGGTCTAGAGGTCCCATTCAGCCCAGCCATTCCCCTTTTGGGTATTTTCCCAGAAGATCTGAAGCGATATATGTGCACCCATGTTTGTAGCAGCATAGGTTGTAATAGCTAAATCATGGAAGCAATCCAAATGTCCATCCACTGAAGATTGGATAAGAAAATTGTGGCACTTTTATATAATGGAATATGACTCAGCTATAAAGAAAGATAAACTTCAGACTTTTATAGGTAAATGGTCACAACTAGAGACCATACTCATAAGTGAAATAAATCAGACCTGCATCTGCATGTGTAAGCAACGTATTGTCTCACTAGTGTAAGAGCCTGAAAAAATTAGGAGGTATGATAGACATTGTTAAACGAAAGGAAACTGCTTAAAAGTAAAGAGCAACTGGGATGAGGGAAAAGAGAAAAGAAAGAAGGGAAGTTATGTATGTAGGTATATACAGGATAGCTAACCTAGTTGTCCTACTGACTTCTATCACTTAATTGAAAGGAACAGTTAATGATTAATTATTTGATCAATCTTGCCTGTCTATATTTGTTTGCCTGAGTAACCACTTTGAAGTTATCAATATGTAATACAACAACCATAGTTAATTGCCTGTCACCTTGTCTGTAATTCTGTATTGCTTGTGTTGTTCTTGTGCTATTCTGTAAATGGAAGTCTGTTTGTCAATGTTTTCGTTCTTTTATTTTTAAAATAATAAAAAAAGAAATTACCTTCATCTTCCAGGGAGCCCCTAGAGTGCTGTAGCTCGGAGCCATCTGGAGAACGGACCTATTACCTGAATTTAGAGGGCTCTAGGTGTCAGAAACCCTTGGACAGTCCCGTCTCTGGGACCCTGCGGTGTTCCACTGCACCGGCTCAGCAAGCGCCTGCCTCCTGAGCCAGAGCTGGCTTGGTGAAGCGACTCTGACACTGAGCGCTGAGAGCGCCACCCTGTGGGGAGAGGCTGCTGCAGTGTGGAGGGGAGGGGAGGGTGCTTCCCCACACACGGGGGATCAGGCAGTGTCCCCTCTGAGACCTGGGGCAGGGGCAGTTGGGTGTGGTCTCCACACTGCTGCCCAGAACTAGTGGGTGTTTCCCTGTGTACTTCCCACATCCACTGCTAGCCCCACTGATAAGGTGAAGAAGGAACTGTGAGATTCAACGTTTCCCTCACCCATGAAGGCACGCTGGGACAGCCTCAGAAACACTGCCTCGGCTCTGGCCGCAGCCGCAGCCCCTGGGCACAGCCTAGGAAGGTCCAGAGAGAACCTTTGTCAGTACCAGCCACATTCTGCTCTCCCTCACTCCCACTAGGACCTCAGCAGAGAGGAATTTTCCCTGTTTCCAGCCGTGACCCACTCCCAGTTGGTCTCTGCTCGCCACTACAACCAAAAGAGCCTGGCAGGAAAGCCCCCAGCCATCAACCTGTCCCCAGGTGCACACAGGTGACTTGAGTTCCCGCTCCTAGGCAGACATGCCCAGAGTCGCAGCAGAGCGAAATAACTCAGTGTTTGCTGTGGGTCCCCTGCTTCAGTTGCTCTCACTTTATGTGATCACAACTGCTGCC